AAAAAAAAAAAAAAAAAAAAAAAAAGAATTGTGTCTTACAAAAACACAGTGTTAGGGAAGATATTACACACTGAGTGTGTACAACCCTTCCTAATATTTAAAAAAAATATTTTGATGAGAAACTTGAGCTTGCTTACATGAGCGTAACTTAAAAAAAAATAAAGGTTTTATGCATGAAACAGCTTCAAGCAATTCCTGCTCAGGATTTAAAATTGATGTTTTCAAATTCTTGGTCATTGTCATTGGTAAGAAACTTTGCCTACAGAGGCATATTAGTGAAAGGCAGAGGAATATTTATTGCCCTCTTCCTTTGGCTCTCAGGAGCTCCTTTCTCACTGTAATTAGAATTTAAATAATTCCATCTCTTCAAATTGTATTTCAAAGGGGCAATCATTCATTAATGGAACTGTTCTTTTTCTCTCATTGACACAAATAACGATTAAATTTTCTGGGATAAATTGAACGTATTTTGAATAAAATAATGGTGAAGCTTTTCTGCAGTTTTACATAGAAGTTGCTCGACCTCCTCCCTTTTCCCTTTTCCTCCACTTTGAATGATTCTCCTTTTGAATTCAGGTGCCATACACATACACGCAGAGATTGTATGTGCGTGTATACACACATACACATGTACACATGAAATGCGTAAATGCATTAAGATTCAACTATGTTGTTGCATGTATTAATAGTTGTTCCTTTTTATTGCTGAGTAGTATTGTATGAATGTACCATAGTTTGTTTCTCCATTCATTAATTGAAGGACATTTGAGTTGTTTTCATTTTTTGGTAATTAGAAATGAACCTGCTGTGGATATTTGCATACAGGTTTTTGTGTGAACCTAAGTTTTGATTTCTTTTGGGCAAATACCTAGGAATGGGATTGCTAGGTTTTATGTAAGTTTAGCTTTAACTTTATATGATACGGGAAGTTTTAAAGTATAGATTCTACTTCCTTAATTCTGTTCAGGTTATCAGTTTCATCTTGAGTGAGCTTTGGTAGTTTTTGTCTGTCAAAGAATGTGTCCATTTCATTTATTGAATTTATAGGCCTACAATTGTTCCCTAGCTCTGTAGACTGTCTTTCTAATATATTTACAATCTGTGATGAAGATACCTCTCTCCTTCTTTTTTTTTTTCTTTTGAGACAGAGTCTCACTCTCTTGCCTGGGCTAGAGTGCCATGGTGTCATCCTAGCTCACAGCAACCTCAAACTCCTGGGCTCAAGCGATCCTCCTGCCTCAGCCTCCCAGGTAGCTGGGACTACAGGCATGCACCACCATGCTTGGCTGATTTTTTCTATTTTTAGTTGTTTGGCCAATTTCTTTCTATTTTTAGCAGAGATGGGGTCTCGCTCTTGCTCAGGCTGGTCTTGAACTCCTGAGCTCAAATGTTCCTCTCGCCTCTGCCTCCCAGAGTGCTAGGATTACAGGTGTGAACCACTGCGCCCGGCCCCCTCTCTCCTTCTTGATAGTTGAAATTTGTGCTTTCTTTCTGATCACTTTTACTGGAGGTTTATCATTTCATCATCTTTTCAACCAGCTTTTGGGCTCACTGATTTTTTTTCTCTGTTGATTTTCTGTTTTCCGTCTAGTTGACTTTTACTCTGATCTTCATTATTTCCTTTCTTCTGCTTAGTTTGGGTGTAATACGTTGAGTTTAACATAATATAGAAAAAATTCCTTCTGTGGAAATAAACTGAAAAATTTTGAAACCCTAGACTAAATCCAGATTCCAGATTGTGTGTGTGTGTCTTAATTGAGAG